CAGTGGCCTTCTTTCTCCCAGCATTCAGTTTAGTTTTCCCCATCTAGCTAAGCTCTGCCTTGCTATAGGCAAAAGCAGTTTCTTTATTCATTAACCAACAAAAGCAACACATAGACAGAAGGACCTCCCACACCAGGCACCTTTCATGTGTCTGTGCAGAATGTCCCTGGTGTCCTGATAGAACTTGATGGGTTTTCTTTTTTTTTTTTTTTTTTTTTTTTTTTTGGTTTTTCGAGACAGGGTTTCTCTGTAGCTTTGGAACCTGTCCTGGAACTAGCTCTTGTAGACCAGGCTGGCCTCGAACTCCCAGAGATCCGCCTGCCTTTGCCTCCCGAGTGCTGGGATTAAAGGCGTGAGCCACCACTGCCCGGCGATGGGTTTTCTTAATACAAATTGACAATACTAATTGTTTTTCTAGATACAAATCTCTCAAATATATATGTTGTGAATATTTTCTTTGTGTGTGCATTGCTTTTTTCATTTCTTGTTTTATATTTATTTTTTTATTTATGTGTGGGGTATGCACATACCATGTTGTACAGAGTAGCCTTTTGAAACATTCTGCTGTCAGAGACAGCATGTGGTGATGGGGGACAAAGTTTGAAGAGGGGGCTTACTGAATGGTGAGATCTTGAGGGCAGCGTTATCTCTTTGTGGTGTTAGTATCGCAGAGGCTTATGCAACAATAATTGTTTCTCCCTGGCCTAGCACAGTGGCTCTTAACCACAGAAGCCCCATGGCTTGGGCTTCTTGTAGCTTCCCTCTCTGCCAAGCCATGGGCATGACTCACATGTTCTCCCTCAGCTGCAGCAGAGAGGATGGAGGAACTAAGCAGACAGGGAGCAGCTCACTACCAGCTGAGCTGAGAAACATTACTCAAGGCTGCTGTGCCTGATACATCCACCAGAACAGACCAGGACACAGGCATGTGACCATAGGAGGAAGGGTTTTAAAACACAAGCTCTTCACTATTTATTAGAAAATCAAATTGTTTATTTAAAAAGTTAGGGCTTCTTCTAGAAGTTCCCATAACCTAGTAACTTGCCACTTTTCTCTTTCTGGGCCTGCCTGTGTTTCCTGGAAGAGTAAAGTCATGTTAATGTACACAGCAATGGTGTCAAGGGAAGGAGTTTGGGATTTGAGTGTCTCTGTCCTTGGGAGCCAGCATGGCGCATGGCATGTAGCAAGAGTAACTGATGTGCAATGGCATGTGCATTGTTCACCCCCAGAAGTGTCACCTCCCCTGCAGTATCTACATGACCTGCTGGATATGGGGCCATATTTGCAAGTGTGTGCATCCTCACAAATGCTTTACAAGTTGCCTGGAAAACCACTGAGCTTCATGCGTGTCAGGATCAATGAGTTGATTGCCAAGCACTTTTGCCATGACCCATAGGAGCCTGGGGGGATCAATTCAGGTCACCTCCTATATCTGACTTCATCTGTCTGTCTCTGTGGTTGTATCAAGGATGGAGAGCAGAGGATCTCCTAGCAAGGTATTCCGTGATAACTGGAGAAAGTTCTACAGTATGAGCAGTTGCATGAGCTGTGCTGGTTATCCCTTCCCACTACCACTGCCCCTCCCAAGAGGTTTATTTTGGGACATCTTGGCAGGCCCAGTGGCCAGCCCTTAGGAGCATTGAGCAACTGGTACAGTGCTTCCTAAAAGCTAGGGAGTTCATGTGCCCGTCCTCTTAAGGTACATAACTTTGACACTGAGTTCCCATTCAGGTGGATTTGTTTTGTTCTTCCCCTCCCACCAGCTCCTCTTTGTCTCCTGAACATTGGAAAATCACTGAAGAGGTCCTAATAATGCCCCACCCCATTTCACTGTAGAAAAGTAGAAGGATTGGCATTCTTCAGGCCTGGCTTGGATCTCCCATTTTTGTGAAAACCTTTCTCAGAGGCTCGACGTGGTCAGGCATTCTGTGCTTCATGCTGGAGGCAGAAGGGAGTAAATAGGAAGAGAGGGGCAGGAGGAGTGAGCGTAGTGTTCAGAAGTTTGGAGTGAGATGAGCATCTTGTAAGGGTTTGGTCAAGAGAGGGGTCATTTGTAGATGTGGGGTCCCTGTAGAGGGGTGCAGGCGTATAAAGCACAAGAGATGCCCTCCCTTACCTCCAGCTGATATCTCTGCAGCTGAGGAAGGGGCATTCCAGAGAGTGTTCAGGCTCTGACGTGGTGCTCTGGTCCTCCACGTGGTCTAGAGGTATAGTTAGCACTTTGTGTCCTGGCCTAGGAGCTGTGACTTCCCCTAAAGTTTTCCCCTGACTGATCACAGCTTCACTAAAACGTTCTGGGAGGAAGAGAGATGAAGACCAGGTTTTGAAAAATCCTGTGTTGGATATCTGTGTGCACTATTTTCTTTCCCACAACTTTGTAAAGACAGGTGTGGCATTTAATGACAGATAGATGGTCTAAGAACTGTGTTAGGGAATTTCCTCATGGCATGTGAAGTGCGAGCATGTACCGCTGTATGGTGGAGCCGCAACACACTCAGGCTGTGGGCAGTGCCTGTGAGTCCTCGGCTGCAGCCTGCACAGCATGTTCTGGGGCTGGATGTCAGCTGGAGACACTGTGGCAAGGGTCTGCTCACTTCCACAAAGCCAAACATCAACAATGCAGCAATAGAGCTAGAGAGCAGGGTGCCCAGTGAGCGCTGAGGAAGCTACTCTACCTGACTACACTGGACACAGGTCACACTGCCTTATAGAAAATGTCTCCTCGCCAGGCAGAGCTGGTGCACGCCTCTAATTCCAGCGCTCAGGAGGCAGAGACCGGTGGAGACCAGTCTGGTCTAGAGAGCAAGTTCCAGGACAGGCTCCAAAGCTACAGAGAAACCCTGTCTTGAAATCCCCCCCCCCCCGAAAAAAAAGTTTCCTCAATACATTAGTTTTAGCTTACTAGAGGGCTTTTACTTTATAAACTCTTAGGGTTTTTTGTTGTTTCCTTTGCTTTTTGTTTAGAGATAGGGTCTTACTATGTAACCCTGTTTGTTCTGGAACTCTCTAGTAAAGGTATGTGCTTGGCTAAACTTTTTCTGTAATACACTTAACTTAAAATGCACATTGTACTGCTATGCAAAGTTCTCTTCATAGCCATATTCTGCAAGCTTTTTCCTAGTAGTTTAAAATGTTACCTTTGAAACTTTATTAAAAGTTGCTTTTATTATGTGTATGACTGTGTTTGAGTGTATCTGTGTGCACCACACAGGTGCAGTGGCCCTTAGTGGTCAGAAAACTCCCTGGGATGGGAGTATGAGGTGGGTGTGAGCTGCCATGTGGGTGCTTGGATCTGAGCCTTAGCGCTCAGCACCTGTGAATCACCTCTCTGGCCCTGTTCAGGGTAGAGCGAGGCTCATTGGTGTCACTCTTCCGGTCCTCAGCTTGTCCCATTTGATGGTCCTGGTGGGCAGTGACAGGCACAGGGCTGTCCTTTCCTGAGAGGATGAAGCCTTTTTCTCCCAGAGACCTATCTGAGTCTGTTTTGCAATTAACTCTTTTTTCCTCCCTCCTTCCCTCCCTTCCTCCTTTTCTCCTTCTTCTTCTTCTTCTTCTTCTTCTTCTTCTTCTTCTCTTCTTCTTCTTCTTCTTCTTCTTCTTCTTCTTCTTCCTTCTCTCTCTCTCTCTCTCTCTCTCTCTCTCTCTCTCTCTCTCTCTCTCTGAGAGTTCTCTGTAAAGCAGAGACAAAGCATCTAGCATAGGTTCTCGACCTGTGGGTCACCACCTTGGGGGCCGGCCCTTTAACAGGAGTCACCCAAGACAATCAGGAAACAGATGTTTACATCGCAGCAAAATTACAGTTACAAAGTAGCAATGAAAACAGTTTTATTACGGTTGGGGTCAAGCATGAGGAACTGTATTAAAGGGTCACAGCATTAAGAGGGTTGAGAGCCACTGGGAAGGCTGGGTGTCCGGGTGGAACTCTAGAGGAAGCTGACTAGTGTCAGAGGCAGTGACCATCTTGAGGACTATTGAGACCCGTCCTGGGATATTTGGGAGTCTGTCTTACTCATTCCTTGTTGAGATTTCTCTCTGTGAAAGAATCCTGGGGCCAGTGAGATGGCTGAGTGGGTAAAGGTGCTTACAGCCAAGCCTGATAACCTGAGTTTGATTCCTGGGACCCTCGTGGTGGAAGAGGAGAACCTGTACTCCCCAAGTTGTGCTCTGACCCCCACAAGCGCAGCACGGCACAAGGAACACCCCAGTACACACAATTGAAAACAAACGAGCATCCTGAGTGTAGGCACCAAATGGAGGAGCTGACTGCCTTGGTCGAGTGAGCTGCTGGAACCTATACCTTCTGTCCCCTTCTCTGCAAGAAGAAAACTACACAGTTTTTTTTCTTGATCACTAATTATGTTTTATTTCCTCTGGGTGTACACAGCCTCACCCATGTGCAAACGGGCCAGAGTGTGCCTGTGGAGGTCAGAGGACACCTCGGGGTCAGTTCTCACCTTCCACCATCTCGGTCACCCACTGAGCACAGTGCAATGCTTCAGCCATTATGAAGTTGTCCCTAATACTTTAGCAGATAGAAACCCCCCATTGCCTGGTCATGGCCATGTGGTATGCCAGTGAAATAAGCACCAGTTACATCCATGTCCAGACTCAGGTACACACAAAATGGCTGCCGGGCACATCCATGACCAGCACTCGGGTACACACAAAATGGCTGCCGGGCACATCCATGACCAGCACTCGGGTACACAGAGTGGCATAGGAGTATTGAAAACGCAGCTCTTACTGGCTCACTGCTGTGCTAGAGCACTGGTTCTCAGCCTTCCTAATGCTGCGACCCTTTAATACGGTTCCTCAAGTCGTGGGGACCCCCAATCGTAAAATTATTTTTGTTTCTATTTCATAACTGTGATGATATTGCTATTTAAATAGCTGATATGCGACCCCTGCAAGAGTCGCGCCCACAGGTTGAAAAACCGTTAATCTAGACACTTGCTAAACAGGGTATAATGTGTGTCTTTGCTTCTGTTTGCCTCCTACAGATGGATCTGTCCGTGGAAACCCTCTTTTGCTTCATGCAGGAGCGCCAGAAAAGATACGCCAAGTATGCAGAGCAGATCCAGAAGGTTAACGAGATGTCGGCCATACTGCGCCGCATCCAGATGGGCATCGACCAGACGGTGCCACTGATGGAGAGGCTGAACAGCATGCTGCCCGAGACTGAGCGCCTGGAGCCCTTCAGCATGCGGCCTGAGCGGGAGCGGCACTAGCAGGCACCTGCCCCCCTGGCCGCAGCTCCTCCAGCCTCGCCGGGCCCTAGTGTTTGCTTAGATGCGGTTGACCGACACCCGACTTTCCCAGGTGGTCGTTCTTGATTCCCGAAGTTGGGACAGCTGAATTCCTATGAGTTCTTTAAAGAACATTGCCTCCAGAGTTATTTTTATTTTGCTCAGATTTTTTAATTAAAAGTGTATATAGACTAGCTCCTGCAATGAAACTGGAGAAAGCGTTAAGAAACTGTGTTCTCCTTGGCACCCGGGAGACTCCTGCTTCTCTGGGTTGTGGTCGTAAATATAAGATCTAAGTCTAGTTTCTGTCCCCACGACAGCTGCCATCACATCAGGGAGCTGTCTGGCAGTGTCCTTTCCCCCTCCCGGAACACTGCCTGTTTCCAGGTACCTGCCCCTCCTGTGGGCCGCTGGAAACTGAAGGCGCCCTTCACCCACTCATGAAGTTGTCGTCTGTTAGAGCTGCTCTCCCATACGGAGTTCAGCCTTCTGTGACCGCGGGCAGACCTCGGCCTCCATAACAAGGTCTGCACCAACATCTGATCGTACCCAGAGACCCGCTGAGCTCCGCTGATGCTCCAGGGACATGTTGGGCTACCTAGCCTCTGCCTTCCACTGTCTGCTGTGGATCATGAAGGTGAGAAAAGAACTTCTGCCCATCTTAGGAGTTCAAGGAAGAAAGGCCAAGGGAAGGAGGAGTGGAATGAATGCGGGACAGGCCTGAAGAGAAGAGCTGGGGTCTGGAGAGATGGGGCTGGAGCCTGCAGCCACTACCTTGCTCCCTGTATTCCTCCAGGACCCAGAGTATCAGGAGCCAGAAGAGCCTTCAGTGTTTTTATAAGATTAAAATTAATCTGCTTAATTTATTGTGTAACAGCTAAACTTGATCTGATTGTAATCTTTTTTATTTTTAATTTTATTATTATTGTGATTGTATATATGATGTGTTGTGTATGGATTGTCACAGTGCATGCTTGGAGGTCAGAAGACAAATTTGTGGAGCTCTCCTTCCACCTTTATGTGGGCTCTGGGGATCGAACTCAGGTCTCTTGGCTTGCATGACAAGCATCTTTACTCAATGAGCCATCTAACCAGGCCCACAAAAATCCTGGTTCTTGATCAGATACTAATTTATAATGTTTTTAAAACCCCAACTAAAATGTAGGGCATAAGACAGTTGAATGGCAGAGGAAGCATGATTGTATACTTGTAGCTGGCCTGGAATTCACTCCTAGGCCAGGCTGAGCTTGTGGCCACTTCCTGCCTCTGTGTCCATAGTGCCAAGGTTACAGACTTCACCATTCCCAGTATGTCTAGTATGTTCCAGATGACTGAATACATAAAGATTGTCCATTTGTTTGGAGCTGGAAGAACCCAGACAGGACCTACCACTTCCAGGGTAGCCTCTGGGTCGTAGTCTGGAAGGGGCTGATGTCTTCATCCCTCATGTGGAAGGAGGTGAGGTGGGCTGAGAGAGCTTTGGGGAGCTGCAGCAGCGAGCTGGGTGTTGAGCCCCCAGTGAAGGTGGTCTGTACATATTTCTTCTCATGACTGGAGCTTTAGCCATTTCTAGAGCAATTCCCAGGAGTTACAATGTAAAGCAGATGTTCTGTAGCATAAATCCTACTAAATACCCTGAGATGGTTCTAGAGCGTGCCCTGGGTGAAGGAATGGCAGCCTGCATCGAATAATCCCGCCAGTGTTTCCAGTGCTTTGCCTTCTGTCTCCTGGGCATGCTCAGATGTCAGATAACTGAGACTGGAGTTCCAAACTAAGTTTGCTCTTTTTCCACTGATCTTTTCTCCCATAGCGTTTCATTCTATTTTTGATTTTTTCATACTGCTTTAATATTATTTCCACAAAGCATTTTAATATGTGATGTAGCTAAATGAAGCCCGAGTTGTCCTCAGAAATAGTTTTTTCCTTTTCTCAAAGTTTCAGATGGGCAGAAAGCTGCAGAGTCCTGCAGGAGGTGCACATGGACTGGGGGCTTCTTCTCAGTCACCTCCACCATTGTTTTTCCCTGAGTTTCTGGAATATTTAGAACCCAGCTCTATGCAGAGATTCTCCTAAGCCTTCAAAGAAAGAAGGGCTAATCGTTCGGAGCTGTGTGTACAGTGCAGGCTTCCGTTGCTGCCATCAATTTGACTTTGCGTAGTGAACCCTGAAGTGCAGCGCAGACTCAGCCCGAGGGCTGCGCGCTCCGGCCATCTCCTCATTTCATGGCAGAAGGGTCGGGGATGAAAGAAGCTGCAGCAGCCAGCTCACTTTCTTCAAGAAATTAGGGCGAGGCTAGAGCTTGTGTTGGGGATCCTCCTAGTTTAACGTGTTGCTGTGGGGTGGGGAAGGTGGTGTGAGCTTGGCTAAGCTGAACTATTTTCTTTTTTTTTTCTTTTTTTTTTTTTTTTTGGTTTTTCGAGACAGAGTTTCTCTGTGGTTTTGGAGCCTGTCCTGGAACTAGCTCTTGTAGACCAGGCTGGTCTCGAACTCACAGAGATCCGCCTGCCTCTGCCTCCCGAGTGCTGGGATTAAAGGCATGCGCCACCACCGCCCGGCGCTGAACTATTTTCTAGAAGCCCCTTCTGGTCTCCTTTAGGGTGAGGCTGGCCACCAGCAAAGTTCCGTGAGATTTGGAAGAGGGTGCCCCCTTCCGTCTTCTACACGGCTACTGGGATCTGCTCCAGCCCGGGGAGTGTTGGCTTCTTCAGAGCATCCTTGCACCTGGATGAAAGCTCCTGTGTGAGGAGAAGCTGCCGAGGGTTTCTGGGGTCCTTTTCCAAGTTAATCTGGGAAGGCGAGTGATGTATCAAAACATCCTCATGCTATGTCTCTTGGATGACTGCTATCCTATGTGGCCAGTACAGGTTTTTGTGGAAATGAAGAAATAGCCTGGAGTTGTCAGAGAGCCCTGGATGGAAGTTTAATTTTTTGGTAAGCCATTTTTATTTCCCTGAGCCTCAATACTATAGTTTGGAGCTAATGTCCCTCAAAGGTCCATGAATGCGAAAAGCCCAGTCAGTCCCCAGAAAATGGTGCTGTTGGGAAGAGGGGGACCTAGGAGATGGGGCCTGGTGGAAGGAAGTCTGGTCATTGGCAAGCATGCCCTTGAGAGAACAATCTCTCACTTCCCATCCACTGTGAAGTCTATGATACTTGACTCTAGTTGTTTGTTTTGGTTCTTGAGATAGAGTTTCACGGAAGCCACGCTGCTGGCCTTGAACTCGCTATGTAGCTGAGGATCTCAACTTTCTGATGGTCCAGTCTGATGGGGGATAGTCTTCTGTTTTGTGTTAATTTCATTGGTTAAATAAAGAGACTGCCTTGGCCCTTTAATAGCACAGAAAATTAGGTAGGCGGAGTAGACAGAACAGAATTCTGGAAAAAGCAGATTCAGAGAGTCGCCATGGTTCTCCCACTCCATACAGACGCAAGTTAAGGTCTTCCCTGGTAAGCCACCTCGTGAGCTACACAAATTATTAGAAATGGGTTAGATCAATATGTAAGAGCTAGCCAATAAGAGGCTGGAACTAATGGGCCAAGCAGTGTTTAAAAAATACAGTTTCCGTGTAATTATTTCAGGTATAAAGTGCCGGGGACGCAGCCCCACTGCTCTTATCACTACACCAGTCTCTTTCCCTAAGTGCTAGGATAACAGACACCCAGCACCTGGAGAGCATCTTTACCTGTTTAGACTGTGAGCTCCCTGCATGGGGTGTCCCTCCCTCTTTCCCTTCCTCCTTGCTTTTTAAACCAGGGCTCCACCCTGCCTCTAAGATCCTGCTTTGCTTCCCTGTGATGCACTTACCTGTATTTAGGGACAAACAGAACACTGACTGCAGATTCTTTATTACAGTGAAAGGCAACTGAAGCTGGCCTTCACCTCTTGTTCTATGTGCAGATGTTTTCATACTTGTGGAGTGGCATTAAAGCCAGTACTAATGAGGCCTGTGGCGCACACGTCTAGGCTCAATGCTTGGAAGGCTGAAGCAGGAGGATCACTGTGAATTCAAGGACAGCCTCAATATCCACAAACACACACACACACGTTATACTCTTAGGGCATTGTAGGTTTCACTTTTTGCTGGCTACTTTTAAGTCAACTTGACACAAGCCAGAATATTTGCGAAGAGGGTACTTCAATTGAGAAAATGTTCCCAATAGATTAGCCCATGGGCAAATCTGAAGTAATTTTCTGGGCTGATGTGAAAGAGTCCAGCTCACTGTGGGCAGTGCCACCCCTAGGCTGGTAATCCTGGGTTCTATAAGAGAGCGGGCTGTGGAGGGCAAGCGAGTAAGCAGCATCCTCTATGGCCCCTGCATCAGCTCCTGACTCCATGTTCCTGCCCTGCCTGAGTTCCTACCCGACTTCCTTCCATGATGGACTGTAATATGCAACTGTAAGCCCAATAAGCCCTTTCCTCCCCAAGCTGCTTTTGGGCATAGTGTTTCATCACAGCAGCTCAACCCTAGGACATGTCTTTGTTTCCCTCAAGGTTGTATCATTAGTAATCATATATATGTGCTTCGATGCATGTCTGATTTCTTACCTTTTCAAGTTAACGCCTCAGAATATAGAATATACCGTGAACCTAGATACCTACAGAGTAAATATTTGATGAAATCAGTTTCAGGAACACCATAGGCTAGAACAGAAGAATGGTTCCATTTTGTTTGGGTTTTGTGGTTTCTTTGGTTCAAGTGCTAGGGAATCAAACCCAGGGCCTTGCACATGCTAGTTAGGCACTCTGCAGCCGGGCTCCATTCCCAGCAACAAAGTCTCTGTGTGGTCCTGGATGGCCTGGACTCTCCATGGTGTGTGTGTGTGTTAGTTCACAGAACGGTGGCACTGGTTCTTCTCTTGTATCTTGACATGGGTTCTGGGGAATCTTGAAATCAGGTTGCCAGGTTTGCATGGCAAACACCTTTACCCACTGAGCCATTTCACTGGCTAACGATTTTCTTTATACCCATTCTGTCTGCCTTGTATTGAACAGCATTTCTCCGCCTGCCTCTGCCTCCCAAGTGCTGGGATTAAAGGCATGCGACACCACTGCCCGGCTAGTGTGTACTTTTAAACTGGTTAGGCTAAGCTTCTCATATGATTAAATATCTAAGTAGAAGTCATTGAGGCATATATAGGATGGAGAACAAATTTTTGTTGTTGAGACAGTGTATCATGAAGTACAGACCAGCCTCCTAACCCACTGTGTGGCCAAGGATAACCATAAACTCTGAAGTTGCTGCTGGGATCCACTGTGTACCATGTCTGGTTTATGTGGTGCTAGGGATCAAAGTCAGCGCTGTCCCACATGAGCCTCATCCCAGCCTCCCAGGACCGTGTAAGAGCTACCCTTCCTCAGTGTGTCTGTCCTTGAAGGACTACAGAATCCTGTTTGTGCTAACGTCCATGCAGGCACCTGTCTTTTCCTTCCTATGCTGTACTTGTATACCCTGAAATCAGGCAGGTAAGAAGGTTCTACAGTGTGCACTTGGCAAACAGTTCCATGTGATGTATCACCCGCCACTTCCATTTTAAAAGGCTAACCTCTCATCTGTGGTGCTGTGACCCCCTTCTTTTGTAACAAATAGGATGGCTCCCATCAAGGTAAGACCTGCAAGGAGAGGTTGCTTCTCACACTTATGTATAAACAGGTACCAGTTTCAATTTTATTTCATCATATTAACATACATGACATCAAAATGAGAAATGCACAACCGAACCATTCAGCAGCTTGCCTTACTCCACACAACACTATATTCATATTACACATTTATACAGTCTTTCCACTCTGACTTTGCACACGGTCTCAACAGTTCCAGCATTTCTCAGAGTCTAGTTTTGCTCATTAAAGTCACTGCTCTGCATCTGCAGAAGACTCCAGGCTTCCCTGTGCTCACGAGAGCCAACACCACACCACCCACAGTGCGCCGCAGAGGCAGCCCTTTCAGTGCAGCAGTTGTGACCCCAACATCGGGTAAAATGACATTAGTGGTGAAGACTGACCGCTGTAGAGAAGGACTGTCACTACATAGAAGGGACCATGGCCCAGAGAGCCCTACACGACATGGCAGAGGTGTCACTACATAGAAGGGACCATGGCCCAGAGAGCCCTACACGACATGGCAGAGGTGTCACTACACGGAAGGGACCATGGCCCAGAGAGCCCTACACGACATGGCAGAGGTGTCATTACACAGAAGGGACCACGGCCCAGAGAGCCCTACACGACATGGCAGAGGTGTCACTACACAGAAGGGACCATGGCCCAGAGAGCCCTACACGACATGGCAGAGGTGTCACTACACAGAAGGGACCACGGCCCAGAGAGCCCTACACGACATGGCAGAGGTGTCACTACACAGAAGGGACCATGGCCCAGAGAGCCCTACACGACATGGCAGAGGTGTCACTACATAGAAGGGACCATGGCCCAGAGAGCCCTACACGACATGGCAGAGGTGTCACTACACGGAAGGGACCATGGCCCAGAGAGCCCTACACGACATGGCAGAGGTGTCACTACATAGAAGGGACCATGGCCCAGAGAGCCCTACACGACATGGCAGAGGTGTCACTACATAGAAGGGACCATGGCCCAGAGAGCCCTACACGACATGGCAGAGGTGTCACTACACAGAAGGGACCATGGCCCAGAGAGCCCTACACAACATGGCAGAGGTGTCACTACACGGAAGGGACCATGGCCCAGAGAGCCCTACATGACATGGCAGAGGTGTCACTACAGGAGGGACCATGGCCCAGAGAGCCCTACACGACATGGCAGAGGTGTCACTACAGGAGGGACCATGGCCCAGAGAGCCCTACACGACATGGCAGAGGTGTCACTACAGAAGGGACCACGGCCCAGGGAGCCCTACACGACATGGCAGAGGCAGCGCACCACCCAGACACGGAATGATGGAGCTGCTGCTTTCATGTTTAAATGATGTCTTACCAGCGTGAGCAGATTTTAAGAGGGTGGGCTCTTACGCATTTAGTGTGTGTATTGAAGTTTACTGTGAAGCATTGAGAACTTCTGATTACATAAGAGATTTTGATGTATATCAAAAACACAGATTGCTGAACTGAACCTCCACAGAGTGGCAACCTGTTCCCCGTGCAGTGTTCTGCCTTCGTCTGTGTCCAGACACAGCTTATCTGTACAGGACGTCCATGAGGACTATAATCCTCCTGATCAAGCCCATCAGCTTCGAACCATGTCATTCTATGCTGGTTTTAACAATCACTACAGGAAACATTAAGTCACATCCTAGTCAAAGGACTGTCCATTTCACAAACAGAGAAAAACCTGAGACGTGAGTCAGCCCCTGCTACACTTACAGTAAAGAACAATGACCGTACCTGCCCCACCCATACCCTGCTGACGTGAATTAAGGCCTTGAGAAGGACTGTACTCTGGAAGATAAAACACAAGCCAGGGAGCTGAAAGGCAGATAGGCACGATCATGTGCACACTTGTTCTTACTACCTTCTGTTCTCCGCTGCCAGGATTACGTCCACACGGTGATTGTCCGCCAGAGACTGAGAAACAACCGTGGTCCTCCATCTGACATGGCCCTTCCTTAGCCTGCTGGGACAGCTTTTGAACACAGCTCTCCTGCATTCACAACTAAACAAAATCCAACAACCCCTTTGTGACTTTTGTAGTATGTTTTATTCTGAATAGGTCTTGCTTGCCAAAGCCCATGGTAAGTCTGGAAGTCTAAGATGATTCTAGAAATAGTACCCTTATTGCATACCACAGGAAAAAAAGACACCAAGGAAATTTGTTTCCTGCTTCAAGTTTTACCTTCTCGAATCTTCCTGTGTGCCATGAGACAGAACTGAAAAGCATCTGTTCTGGCTGAGGACCCGAGGGCGCTGTCACTCTGCTAACCAGCCCAGTGATTCACATTTATCTCTAACCCAAGTCTGTGGTCGATTTAAGGATTAACAACCCCACTTTAGATAATTCTTTGATTATTATAATCAAATGTTTGCTGTCCCATCCCTGGCTTAAGTCTCTAAGCTACCTGACTGCGCAGTCTCTAGCTATGCTGAACTCTAGTTGGTTTCCCCTCTTCTGAAGCTGAGAAGAAGAGTACAATGGCAGCTGCCCATCCAGGCACACTGGGATTTTGTGCACAAATGGTATGAATTTGTCTGGAAAGTGATAAGTTATTTATTCACAATGCCTAGAAAATGGGCTCCTAGACATGGTAGTGGTGATGGCCCCAAATGTCCTGTCTGAGGTACTGGATTGCTTGAGTAGATCTGGGCAGGGCTCCTAATAGTTCATCCAGCAGAATGATGCCCGTGTCCTTCAGCTGCCAATCAAGCTTGAATTTATGACTCAGCTTTGGACAGGATCATTGCTCTTGGACTTACCACTAGGGTCTGTCCCTAAGAGGGTCTTTCCCCCGACCCACAGCTGGCTCAGTCTCAGCGCTAAGGTGCACAGGGAAGGGCCCGGACAGAGGTGAGTTCTGAAGATCTCTGTTGCACATGAAAATAGGAGGGATTTTGCCCTCTAACATCAAAAACAAAAACCCTCGCTTTTGTAGGAACAAGATGTGCAATTCACTGAACAAAATCTCTTCTCCTGGCTGGGGGAATTCTAACATCTACCCTTCCACTCTTCTGAGAGAATTAGCTGCTCTCAGTGCAGGTGCTGAGAGAATAACTGTGTTGATCCATCTTTTGCTTTTACACCGTAGCTCTATATTCCAAAAATATATATGTATATACATATACATATTTCAGATTTACAGGGAATATTTTTTTGTGAACAGGAAACAAAACAAAACGTCACCAGAAGGGTCTTCTTCTCAGGAGACCTCAATCATCTCCATGCTGCCTGAGAAGCTAGACTGACTGCCCACTTTGCCTAGCTCCTCCCTCGACCTGTTCTCTGACATGATGCTCTCTCCCAATTCCATCTGGCAGCTTCTGCGTTTAAACTGCTTTTCAAAGGGGCTCTCTTCGTGCCAGCTGCGTCTCGAGTCAGCTCTGTCGCTGGGCTTCTGCCGCCTGCGAACAGAATAGACTTGGTCAGTGCACGTGGGCAGCTGGCTACAGCTGTAGGCAGAGTAACCGGTGTTGCCTCCGTAGACGGCAGAAGCGGAGTAGAAGTGTGAGGGCTCTGTGGCAAAATACCAGCTGCTGGGCAGGGAGGGGGCAGAGGACTGGGGCGCCAGAATATCTGAGTGCCAGCCCTTGAGACCGTGCCCTGCAGCAGACTTGGTGAGGTGTTGCTGGCTGGTGGAAAGGCCGAAAAGAAAGTTGGTGTGGTAATTGTCCTCAACACTCCCACTCCGATGCAGTGGTGAGAAGAAGGACCTCTGGGTGGTCCCACTACTGCTGGTTCTCACTGAGTGTAATCGCTTGCTCTGGCTCTCTGAAGGCCTGGTGGGTTGGGGCTGCTTGGGAACGTGGGCCTCCTCCTTATCTGGGCTGGTTTCTGGAGTCTGCTCTGATACCTCCTGTACGGGGGAGAACTGGCAAAGCTTGCTGGTCCCATCCAGTGTGGCAGAAGGCCTGTAGTACTCCACAGCATCCTCTGACGAGAAGCCATGAGAAGATGCTGCCACACTGGCCGAATACGAAACACACTTGATATCAAGAGAGAAGGAGCGCTTGAGCTTATTGCTGTCTTCCAGCTTCTCTGAGGACAGCTGCAGCCCGCTGAACGCCTGTACCAGGGGGCTGTCCTCTAAGAGTGACGGCTGTAAGCTGGGCACACTGGCAGGATGCACAAGCCTTTGCCCTGATGCCTCTGAGGTAGAGCTGACACAGGGTGGACTGAGAGACAGCGCACTCTTCCGTCCGCCCTCCGAGGCTGCAGACTCGCTGGATTTGTCCAGGTGCAGCAGCTTGAGTTTGCTCTTTGGCCCTGACATTCCAGTCTGCTTAATAGTCTTCTCGTAATCCATGAGTTGGCCCAGAAAATTAAAGTTCGGCGATATGGTAGGTCTTTTTTCTTTCACAAATCTACAGAGAGGACAAAGCAAAACCCCTGAATATTACAACTGCACTTTGTCTTGAGGGCACTAAGAGAAAGTGAGGCGTTACTACACCTTCCCAGTGCTTTGGAATCGGGTTCATTTACAAGTTTAGGACCAAGGTGAGATACCTTACTCGGGGAGCCATGTGGGTGGTAGGATGTGTGCCAGTGGGCAGCCTCCAGGTTCCTTATTTCTAAGAAGCCAAGGCTTCCAGTGCAGTGGATAAGAGGACTGTTTGCTCAACTCTGCCCCGTTATACACACATCTCCCAGAGATGGCACCAGATGGCAAAGCATCACAGCACTCAATTCTACAGTTCTTTTTATATTCAGAATGACAGAACAATAGGCTACAAACTGACCTCTGGGTGCTAAATACTACTGCTGTGCTGCCGTATTCCGTCTTTAACCTGCCTATCTAGATAGCCACAAAGTCCCAAAGTGAACGCAGCTGGATGTGATGGGGCGGGACTCAAAGCCTGGACTGTCTAATGCCTGGGCCCATTTTTGTGACCACCATGTTAAAAATTCATCAAGACATAAAAACTCAAATAATAAACTGTAATATGAGGGTGTGGGCCTTCCCACCTGGCTTCAGCCAAGACAGAAAGATGACAGGGACAGAGACCTAACTAACTGGAGAGAGCTGGTGCCAAAAGCGGACCCATCCCTTCAGTGATCAGCAAGAAAGACTGTCTAAGCAGCTCACTTCGTTCTAGAATTTATAGTTTGAGAAACTCAAATATTAAAATAAGCCAGCAGGGCACATCTATATTCTTGTTTTTCATATGAAAACCAATTACTTCTTGCCAACAGGGCGGGTGAACTCAGACTCGCCTGTTCTCACAGTCCTGCCACTTCTTGCTTTTCCCATTGAAATAACAGAAGCAGCCTAATCAGATACTACCTATAAAATCTGGCCAGTTAGACAGGACAGGAAGTTTTATTCAGATTTTATAAATGAGTGCATCAGACTTTTTCATCTAGGAAGTACGGTCAAGCAGAACACTGGTGGGCACTGTGCAAGAGACACTTTCCCCACTTACCAATCAGAAAAGGCCATGCTTCTCTAACAAGGGAAGGGAATACACTTTACTGACCTATTGTTACTAAAAGGCAGCTGAGGGTGAACATATGGCTAGAGAGAACGACAGCTAAACCACACTCTTTTTTTTTTTTTTTTTTTTTTTTTGGTTTTTCGAGACAGGGTTTCTCTGTGGTTTTGGAGCCTGTCCTGGAACTAGCTCTTGTAGACCAGGCTGGTCTCGAACTTACAGAGATCCGCCTGCCTCTGCCTCCCGAGTACTGGGATTAAAGGCCTGCGCCACCCCGCCCTAAACCACACTCTTTCTCCATCTCTGTAAGGCCATGGCCACCAAGGACCTGTGACCAGAATCATCTTGGTCTGCCTTCATCTACTCAGTCGCCTTCACGGGTCTTCCTGTTTCAGGGAAAACGAAAAGCATGTTCCATAAGCCATGTTTCTGCCCTTACCTGTAAGCCTCATCTAGAGACATGTCCATCCTCTTCATGATGTAGGCAATAGCAATGGTGGCAGAGCGAGAGATTCCAGCTAAGCAATGTATCAGCACACAGCCATTGGAAGCTTTTGCTTTCTCTATGGGAGCAAATTTAAGAAAGGTCACTAGGAATTCCTTCAGTAAGGAAATCTTATACTAAGCATTACCCTGAATGTTACCGTCAGTGATTTCACCTGAAACTTCAAAGCAGGGCTCACGTACGGAGCCTCCTAGTTATCTGTTAGTGCTGCTTATTAGAAGAAAGGCAGTTCTCTTGCCATTAAGATCCCAAAGCATTACTAATAAGCAATGAGTTACTACCTCAGATTGCTTGGTTCTTATTTCAGAGCATTTACCATGCAGAATGCATGTGTGTGTACAGAGAATGTATGTATGTATGTGTGTAAGAATACAGAGTGGAAGACATCAACCGCAGCTACCATTCCTCAGGTGTAAAAAGGAGCACAGGTGTATGTATGGTTTTCAGACACTATTTCACGGGTCTGGAACTCACCAAGTAGGTTAGGGTAGGTGGCTGGCTAGCCAGCAAGCCTCGGGGCGTTCTTCTGTCTCTGCTCCCCAGTACTGCATTACAGGCAAATACACGGTGCCCATCATCTTTCTGTGGGCTCTGGACATCAAACTCAGGTCCTCACGCTTGCACAGCAAGCACTTTAACAGGCAGAGCTATCTCCCCAGCTATTTATTAACTCAAAACTCATGTGTATGCTGGACCAGAGCTCACTAATAGGAAGCAGGAGTTACTAACATATTGCATCATCTTAATCCCCCAGAACACGTTAGAGAGACTCGTGGATACCATTAGAAGCAAAGCCAGGGGATGCACCCGGTGCTGCCCTCTTTGCTGATGAGGAGCTTTAAAAGCTTACATGTAGGAGCAGATGACAGTATCCCAAATGGCCTGGAAGCAACTGCCATGACTGATTCTGTTCTGAACAACTACACATGTGCTCAGCCATGGAGCCAAATCCTTCCCTTTCCATTTATTAGTCAATGTTGAGGTTAATTTTTGAGACGGATTTTTCTCCGGATAGTCTGGAACTTGCTCTGTAAACCAGACTGGCTTTGAACCCAAAGATCTGCCTGCCTCTGCATCCCAAGTGCTGGAATTAAATGTGTGAGCCACCACCACTGGCAGCGAGGTTGAAATTCTTAAAATTATAAGAACACAAGGAACCTGCACTGGCTAATGAATATAAAGCTGGTTCAGCCTTGCAGCCTGTGATACAGACGTCTAGTAGATGCGATTTATTATTCATTATATACTCGTTCATATATATAATTCATATATATAATAAATATGTATATGTATATTCATTATCATTTAAGAGTAAGCAACAAGCAGTGTCCCTGCTAGAAAAGGAAGCCATACAAGAACAAATGAACACGACCCACACTGACACACAGAACCAGGCTGACATAAATAACACATGGCCTGCATATAAATCCTGTTGTATTAGCAACACATTTATCTTCTACTCCATGTTCTTTCTTTCCCGTGGGATGTAAACTCAAAGCTACGGTTTACACCTAATGGCAATTCCGATTTTCTGCCACAGCCACTGTACTTTTCTTGTAATTTGGTTCTTCCCCCTTTTTTCTATCTCAAGGTATAAAATGTGTCTACACTCATCCCAGTCCCTAGCTGGACGCTGCTCCACACCCCGGCCTGGAAGCACTACGGGGGAAATGCAGTGCAGACCACTGCCCACCATGTTTAAAGCTCCAAATTCCACTCCCAGCACACACTAAAACCATCGGTTTCAGCTTTCTTACTGTTGAGTGTATTTTCTATTATGCTAATAATGATCTGGGCTGGAGAGTGGCTCAGTGGTGAAGAGTACTTGTTGCTCTTGCTGAGGACTGGGGTTTGGCTCCCAGCATCCACACTGCAGTTGTGTGAGTCCTCTTCTGACCACCTCAGGCACCAAGCACATACACACATGCAACAAAAACATGCAAAAGGATAAATATAGATCTAAAATAAAAATTTTAAATAATGATTATAAAAACTAGACTATAAGAACCTATAATGGTCCTGTTCTCACACTCCTCAATGGTTCAAAACTAGCAATATTACACAAGCAGTTAATACTGACATATTTTTTAAAAGATTTTTTTTTTTTTTAAAAAATGGGGGAAATGGCAGGAAGGCTCAGCAAGTAAAAGTGCTGGATGCATAAGCCTAACAGCCTGAGTTCAATCCCTGAAATCTACGGTGGGGGGAAAGAACCCACGCCCCAAAGCTGTCCTCTGCGGTGGCACACGTGTGCCCACACTCATGCATCACATTCGCAAATAACAAAAAAATTAAAAATTTTGAAGGAGGTTGCAAAGAGGTAAAACTGACAGCCATACAGGCAACAGCCTGAGTACCAGTGAAGCCACAGAACAGAAGAGATGCTGCCTCCAAGCAGAAGGTGAGAGCTGACCCTAGACTGTCCTCTGACCCCACACACGCTCATGTGACAGGTCTGCTGGGTGACACACACGCTAGACTCAATACATACAAGTAAGTAAACAAATGTTTTTTGGAAACCTGACAGTAACACACATTGCAATGTGGATGATGGGTTTCCCTCTCCCCTCCAACTTTTTCTATTATGCTCATGCTGGGTTTACAGCCACAATAATTTTTTTCTTTTTTGTTTCTCGAGACAAGGTTTCTCTGTGTAGCTTTGGAGCCTGTCCTAGAACTCGCTCTGGCCTTGAACTCACAGAGATCCACCTGTCTCTGCCTTCCAAGTGCTGGGATTAAAGGCACGAACAAATACTGCCTGGCTCATCTGATTTTTAAAAATTAAACATAAAAGTGCTTATTCTAGAATGGATTCATTTCACATAGTCTTGACAGACTGAGTGTAACCCGAGTCTCCAAGTGGAAGTCACACACAAAGACTTGGACAAGAGGGGAAAGGAACCGTGCACAGGAAAGCCCTATCAGTCCTGAGCAGGGTGCTCAGGAAGCAGCCTACCCAGGCTGACACTCACAAGCCCTCCAAGAAATAGCTGGAGCTGGCTGCAAAGGTGGGAACATTGGGGGGGGGGGGCAGTCTTGGGAACATTAGGCTAAGAGACATATTTTTGTGTAGGAAATGAAGGAGCCTCTACAAGTTATGAAGTGGGGAATATGAAGACAGAGATGGTGAAGCTGGAAATAACAGCAAGTTAGTACTACAGAAACCCAAGAACAATGTTTAGGCTTAAACAGAAAAGTACAGAAACCTTTGTCTCCAACAACAAATAATCAAGACAGAGGGAGAGGGCTGGAAAGTTAACTAAGGGAGCACTGAGGAGTCCCAGCTCACAGAGGGAAGCGATGGCCGGGGAGGTGACAGCACAGACCTACAGATGGGGAAAAGAACTGCTCCTGGCGATCTCTAAAATGTTCGTTAGTCAGAGAGGGCAACCTGTGCCCGCAGCCCCAGCAACCTGGGATGAGTGCCTGGGCCCAAAGTCTGAGGCCAGCCTCACACACAGCGGGAGCCTGTGTTGGAAGAAGCAAGGGCAGAAAAGGAAAAGTACAAACATTTCTTCAGAGCTGACTCTGAGCCAAGTCTTCTGTAAAGGTTTGGGGCATACAGATCATTGCTTTGGTCCTTACATTATCCCTATGAAGGTCCACGACCTTCAGCCTCTACTTCAGGAACCAGGCATGTGAGAGTTTTAAGTTAGGTACACACAATCACTTAACTGATAACCGGGGAGGAAGGGCTCTTAGTTTGGCGCCAAAGTACATCCTTTTAATCAACTCTCTATGTTGCCTCAGTGCAGAATCAAGGACTTGGTGGGGGTGGGGTTGAGCAGGAGCTTGAAACATGTCTCTGAATCAACACGACATGCAGTGGGAACATTAATCACAGCTGGTTTCTTCTTAAGGACAACAAATGGAATAGTATGCTGCATATACTTCTCAGAGGTGCAATGAAAAAGTATTAGTCTGGCGAATTTTCTTTATGATCATTTTAGTGTGAACTGTATGGTACAGAATAGCTTCTGTCCGTGCGCGTGACAGTATGTGCTGGAATTTCACTGCACCAAAAACTACTTGAAACTATCCACGCATGACCTGAGACTCAGGAAACCTAACAAATAAAAGGACTTCATACCTAACAGGGTATTTTCACAGGACCTGACTTTACCCAGGGAAAACACAACACCAAGTAAGAGGGAAAGTCAGCCAGATTTATCAAACGTTTTCAAAAGATTTGCAAAGTGGAAGGGTGAGTTAGCTCTGAAAGCTTAACTTATTTTTAAGAACTTGCAACGCATAATCACAGATCCTGCAAGGCTTAACCTTGGTGCTGTTAAAAGTCAGCTAGTAGGTCACAAGGCCAACGGCATGGCACATGTCCCCTTGACCACTAAATGTGGAAGTGACATCATATACTGTTTTCAGACTTGAAATCTCTAAAAGAGGCAAAAGGGGAGGGGTAGCTATCCCTACCCGTGACACTATGACTCGAAGGGCGTGTCCCCTGGTCTTCAGCTACATACCTATGAAATCCACAGACTTGTCCAACCAGGGCAGAATTTTTTCACAAAAGCTGTCATTCACAGGCACTCTCAGGAAGTGAGATTCAGGAATGAAGTCAGGCTTTGGACATGTATTGCTGGCATTTAACACGTAGCCAATCCCATTCTGTTGCATCAGTTCCTGTAGAGGGAAAGAGCAATTAAAGAAAGGGACTAATTGTACTAAGAATCATTTTGGAAGATTAATGTTTAATACTATGACAAATATTACCAGTTTCTTTGCAAGAATTACTCACATAGTAAAACCCCAAAATCCAATGAAGTGACATTTACATATGCTATGAAATAATCCCCTGTACACTGTAAAGATTTGTCATTCAAATTGGTTTAATAAAACACTGATTGGCCAGTAGCCAGGCAGGAAGTTTAAGTGGGGTGACCAAACTAAGGATGCTGGGAAGGAGAAGAGCAGAGTCAGGGGTCACCAGCCAGATGCATAGGGAGCAGGAAATGAACGTGCCATGCTAAAAAAGGTACCACCACATGGCAGAGCGTAAATAAGGAATATGGGTTAATTTAATATGGGTTAGTAAGCCGGGTGGTGGTGGTGCACGCCTTTAATTCCAGCACTTGGGAGGCAGAGACAGGCAGATCTCTGTGAGTTCAAGGCCAGCCTGGTCTACAAGAGCTAGTTCCAGGCAGGCTCCAAAGCCACAGAGAAACCCTGTCCGAAAAACCAAAAAAATGGGGGGGGGGGAGAGTTAGGTAATAATAAGCCTGAGCTATTGGCCAAGCATTTATAAGTCATATTAAGCCTGTGAGTGGTTACTTGGGAATTGATGGATGGGAAAGAAATGTCTGTTTTACATACGCATTTAAAGTTGAAAGTGAAAATAATAAAAGTCATTTAAAATAGTATGTCTGAGGAGCAACTACACGAGATCAATACAGTGAACCTCAGTTGTCTCCATTGCTAGAGAGAAGAGGAAGACAGAGAACACAGGAAACAACATATACAGCCCTTTTCCCACACGGACCAGGCTGGGTGTTCTCCAAGACCCAGGCCTGGGCATTCTTGTTGCTTGGTTTAAACAATCTTTTTGAAGGCTACATCTATTTAAGTGAGTTCACATCTACTAGATATTGGGATGTCCCATAGGCCTTTCCCATTCAAATCCCAGAAACTAAACACAATACCCTTCTCCCTTTTTTGTCCTGAACTCCTGTTTCCTCTCTCATCCCAACACTGATGAAAATGACACATTGAGAACATCCACCCAGCCAGTTGGCAAGAAAATATCACACGGCTCCTTTTCCTTTCTCTTAATCTAATCCCAATTCCAATGGCCTACTGTAGTGATGAGGTGAGCAGGCCTGCTTTTCGTCCCGCCCAGCTCCCACATGGTTAGCTTTACACCCAAAATAACAACACACAAATTGTATTCATTCAAACACTGTTTGGCCCATTAGTTTCAGCCTCTTATTGGCTAATTCTCACATACTGACTAACCCATTTCTAATAATCTGTGTGGCACCACGAGGTAGTGGCTTACCGGGAAAAGATTCAGCATATCTGACCTGGTAGCTGGCTCCATGGCGTGTGACCAACTATGCTTTCTTTCTCCCAGCATTCTGTTCTGTATACTCCACATATCTAAATCCTGCCCTATCAAAAAGCCAAGGCAGTTTCTTTATCAACCAATGAAAGTAACAAATAGACAGATGACCCTCCTCCATCATTTCCCCTTTTTCTGTTTAAACAAAAAAGAGGGCTTTCATTTTAATAGAGTAAAATTACATATAGCAAAACAGTTATAAAGCGAGAATTACAGTTACAATATTTATATCTATTTTATCTTTTATCATAACTAAGGAAAACTATACTATAACCATTTGTCAACTCCATCAAAGACTCCAGAAGGATATAGTATTACCTAAGTAAACAAGAAGTAAGCAACTTCCAAAACTCTAGAAATGACAGAGACATCTCACTGCCTGGACAGTCACCCAAAGTTCCTCTGTACCGTTGGGGCATCTATCTTCAGCCTTCAGGCCCATAGTATCCAGAAGACTTTTCCATGAAGCAGGAAATTTCAAAGACAGTTCAGTCACTTTCTGCTGTGTCCTGCAGAATGTCTCGCAGACTCTTTCATGAATCAGGAACCCCGAAAGACCATCTCACCTTTAGGCAAGTTCAGCAGTCCTCTCTCTAAGGCCTACCAAATCCCTTTGGTATGACTTCCTCTATTCATCCTCTCTTCCCATCCACCACTCAGCGAGTCTTCAATATGACTCTGTAGAAAGCCACCAGGGCGCTCCTGATATCTGGGGTGCATTTTCCTTTCAAACCATATTCAACAACTAGGGCAATTTTTTTTCTTCTCTTGTTGAGACAGTGTCTTGCTGTGCATCCCAGCCTGGCCTCAAACTCCAGACCCAAAATGATTCTCCTGCCTCAGCCTCTAATGTATCTGGGACTACAGGTGCATGCAATCATACTCCGCTAATCTTTCTTTACAACTAAGAGTAGGCTAAGTGCTCCTGATGCACACAGCCCGAGAGCCGGGCATGAGATCCACCCTCCCTCCGTGTTTAGGAGGCTCTACTCCCGTCCTCCTGGTGGCTTTCTTCCCACTTTCCCTACTCAGCCTGACTTTATGAATTCCTTCTCATGGACACACAATTAACTATTCCAGGTTCTGACCTTCTAAAGTGCTGGGTTCACACCATTATACCAACCCAGCATTGTATGTTATATTAACAGTTAATTCTTTTTTTTTTTTGGTTCCCACATCGGGAGTTGAACCCCGGCTGCCTGGGTGAAAACCAGGATAACAGTTAATTCTTGTCTCCCCCATCAAACAGTAAGACAATGAGTAAGGTCCTTGAACTGGTTTTGTTTTCCTTGCGTAATTGCACTGATAACGAATTTGTTATGTAATAAACATTATCTACCACAGATCCAATGACTAGGCTAGCTGAAGCCCCACCTGATGAGTCTCCCCATGCGGCCTCTCAGGACATCTAAGCCTGGAATATTAGGCTAAGCAACTCTGGTCATTCTTTTTCTTGGAATACCACCATTTTTATACTTTTCCAACTACTTTAAAGACTAATGGTAGTTTCCTGAAACTTGTGGGATCTCTCTACTCATTTTACACACTTGGCATAGCAAGTGTATTTTATTTTGTACAAAGGATACAGATTGTCTGTGCAACCCTTTCTCATTTCTGAGATAACACCAAGAAACACCTTTTGACTTATGTGGCCCTCTTGAATTGACGAACCCCTTCTTTACACCAGGGCACAAGGCTCCCTGATGGGCTCATCTGCTCTGGTGAAGCTAAGATCAGACCATGAAGATCTTAGTGGTGTTCATGACAACCTCTTCTCTTCAGAGTTTGAGGCAGAGCACACCCGTTTGCCTCCAGGTGACCCACAGATACACTAAGTACCATGTGACTCACAACAGGCCCGTATGTCCCTGGTAAGGACTGAGGCTTTTCTTAGTAATGTTTTTGAGGAAGCAGGCAATACTTTTTTCTCTTCTTTACCAATAGTATTACTAAGTTACATTATGTTAAAAAGCAGAATGAGGCCGGGTGGTGGTGGCGCACACCTTTAATCCCAACACCCGGGAGGCAGAGGCAGGTGGATCTCTGTGAGTTCGAGGCCAGCCTGGTCTAGAAGAGCTAGTTCCAGGACAGGAACCAAAAAAAGCTATGGAGAAACCCTGTCTCGAAAATCAAAACAACAACAACAACAAAAAAAAAAAGCAGAATGAGGGGACTGGAGAGGTGGCTCAGCAATTAAAAGTGCTTGTTTTTGCTGAGCTGAGGTTCTGTTCCCAGCACCCACATGATGGTTCACAATCATCTATAACTCCAGTTCCAGGAGCTCTGACCCTTCTTCTGAACTCCATGGGCACTGAGCATGCACGTGGTACTTATCTGTACATGCAGCCAAAACTCTCACATACGTAAAGATAAATGAATCTATTTTTTTCTTGGTTTTTCAAGACAGGGTTTCTCTGTATAACACTCTTGGCTGTCGTGGAACTCACTTTGTAGACCAGGCTGGCCTCAAACTTGCTGAGACCCACCTGTCTCTGCCTTCCAAGTGCTGGGATTAAAGGTGTACACCACCTGGCCTAAATTTTTTTAAAGAAGCTAAGGAAAACAGAGTGCTCTACCTACCAACTCAATAATGAAGACACAGACTTTTAGAAAGGGTGCAGTGTGCTTACTATAACAGTCCCAATGCAACAGGCAATGTTAGGGACAAAACACGCTACAAGTCCCTGATGACCACACAATATGGCAAGGGGCCTGACATGCAGCCTGACAGCCACACTTTACAGAAATGACAATTTAGCCTATATTCAAAAATACTGATGACCTTTATTAGAGGACTATTAATAGAACACTGTGATATGTAGTACATATTAAAAAGATAGCATCTTAAATATTAAGAAGCTAATACCTACTATATGCCAGGCACTGTACTGAACATTTATGAGTTTACTGGATCCTCACACTTTCTGTGTGGTATGTGCTAGTACTGTCCCCATTACAGATGAGAAAACTGAAGCTAGAGGTTGTAGAACATATCCCAGGTCTCACCTCCACACGCTGGTCTTGCCTGTTATACACAGATTTAAATTCAAACACACTCACTCCAGAAACTATCCTTTTAGTCCCATAATATGCAAAACTTAAGTTCCTTTTAGAGCAAATTAGCCTGAACAATAAAGCAACAACCCCAGAAACCCACAAACTAAGTGTTGTGGCACCTTTCTTTAATCTTAGTGCTGGGGAAACAGAGGCCGCCAAATCCCTGAGGCTCACTGGCCTACCACCCTAGCCTACAGGCTAGGACAATGAGCGACTTGTCTCGGAAAGCAAGGTAGACAGCTCCCCCAAGAACAACCCCAGAGTTGACCTTCTGGCCTCCACTCACAGCATGCAACCCACCCCTCCCACAAAACTATCACCAGCTGCTGCTGAACATTCCTTAGGGAATAAGAACTTGCTAAACGTAAGGTCAATTTTTAAAACAAAAAGGCGAACAAAATACTAACATGCCACATAAGATGAAAATGCAATTTGACTACTAAGTTAAATTCCATGGGCACCTTTGTCTATAGATTTGTAGCTACCACATCAGTGGGAATGTCAGTTA